CAGATCAGTCTTGGTATTAAGTCGAAAAGAAAATCGCTGTGACAGTTGGTTAACATATAACCCCAAAAGAGAAGAAGAAAAACAATTTTTGAAAAATAACATGTGAGGGCGCTATACTTGTGTACATCATCAAACATTATTTTAGATTGATTCGTTTGAATACACCCCTGATTCTCAAAATATACATGAAATAAATTCAATTTTTCTGAAAGTTATCAAATTAATATGCACATTAGCTATTTAATATGCATGGGTTATGCCCCCCCCCCCCCAAAAAAAATTCAGGGGTGTGGATCACCCAAGAGTACATGTGTGCTGAATATCATTGAAATGCAACCAGGGGTTCTCAAGATAACAATCATTTAGCAAAAATGCATTTATTATGTAAATTAGGCAATTAGCATACTCAAAATCTTCAGATCTTGCATTTCTCCCATAGTATCTGTGTACAAAGTACCGATTGACCCAGTACCTCTTGAGATTCTGTTGAAACGAGATTGTCCAGACAGACCGACATCGCTATGATATAAGCTCCCGTTTTTACCAACGGGAGCTAAAGCTAAAAATTGTTGATGGCATGTTGAAAATATGAAGTTTCATCATTTGTATAGTATAAAATGGCCAATTCATAAAAAAAATCATTAAGTCCAAAAATAATTTGACATGCATAACCTGTATAACTTGTCCTTGTATCAACTTTGATCCAAATTGGTCAAAGCTAGTCCAAGAAATGACGCTGGAAAACAAAAAACCATGGCCGCCAAAAAATATGTGCATCAGTAACTTAAGATATAAAACCATCAACAAAAACATACATCAAACTCAGCTTATAGCTCTTGAAAAAAAACTTGTTTCTAATGTTACTCGTTAAAAAGCAATTTGGTGGTGCAGGAATAGACAACACAATCGCATTGTAGTTTGTACATAGCAAAAGTTCACTTGTCATCGTGTATCATGTTATGATGCAGATACATGGAAAGGATCACAATTGGCGAGAACATTATGGAACTGAAATTTAACTAAATAATTGCTGCAATAATTACTGAAGTATGTTAACACATGTACAGACGTTTGTTATCATTTATGAGTTTATATCAAGTTTTGTTTGATCATAATATCAAGTGGTGCCTATGATTAAAATGTGGCCTTAATTAGGTGATC